ATGCCAAACAACAACTTTTAATTAGAGCCACTTGAAGCATCCAGATCTAAGATAAATGTAGGTTTAGCTGGGGTCTGCTCTGACGAGCAGCTTCACAGGACACTAAGGAAAAACAGAATCAATGCATAGATTCAATTGACAGTGCAGCTGGCAGTCAGCTCGCAATGTGCAAAGTAATTATCTGTATTTTCACCCATGAGCTTCAATGAAAGGATGTAAAGAAAAGTGCCCTGTCAGCACAGTGAGGGCTTTGTTGTTTCTCTCTTTGTGGGCAAAACTACAACACAGTGTAGAGTCAGTGAAGCAGTGCTCACCAGCACATGAATAATATTCAATCTCAGGAATGATAACAAGGATACATCTGTCTCTGTCTATTTAATAGCCACTAAATGGAAACCAAATTGCTTTTCTTCTTTCGGTTTAATCTCACCTTTAAGTGATTCTCTTCTGATTTTTTTTTCTTATTAATCTTCTCGTCTTCCTTTTTCAGGCTTTAGCCCAGCTGCAGCTTATTGACTATATCGGAGAACAGACAGCACTGCTTATAAAAGTAAGTTTCCCCTTTGATTCTGAACCTTTACAGTCATCTCTCAGGTCTCTGTGCGACTGGCATCGCTGATAATTGGGCACAGGTGATGCGATATTGCATTCCATGCATATTGATCCTTTTGTTCTGCCTGGCTCGCAATTCAATTATTTCCTTTGCATCTGACTCCTGCAGGCAGCTGAAGGGGTCTGAAGTAATTTTCACCCATATTCTTGCCTCTGTGCATCATGCGAGCAAGGTGTCTCTTAGCAGAGAATTGCACCAGTAATAGCTACGTCAGCTTGTGTTTAGACTGCGGGCCCCTGCGAGCCTAATAATGACACATGACAGGTAGTGTGCTATTTGTGGTTTGTGACCCACTCGGTGTCCCAGAACCATGGACAACATGCTGTGAGAGCTGCATGGTCTTTCTCTCTACGTAGGGCTGCAGGACAGCTGAAATAAAGGAGGAGACTCTGTTTTCCTTACTGTCGCCATGAAGAGGGTTCAAATCACACCGCATGCGGTGAACCAGCCTCGCTGCGCGCCTACAGCACAGATAACACTCAAAGCCACCACCTGTGGTTGTGTCACACATTCAAACAGCTTCATCCTCTCAGCTTCTGCTCCCCGAGGAGGGGTTCGGTGTCAGAGACTGAACATAATTGTTGTGTTTGATTTAAATCAGCGAAGGCAGAGAGAGGGCGTGTGCATGTGAGCGGCAATAAAAGTAGCAGTTATCTGTCACTCTTATCTCCCCTGTCAGGCGGTGCCAGAAGACCAGCGCTTGGCTATAGCCATTATCTTGGTGATGTGGGTCTCGGCTCTGGCTTCTTCTCTCATTGACAACATTCCCTTCACTGCCACCATGGTAAGAGCCCTGAGCCTGATATCACAGCTGCAGCATATCACACTCTTACACAAACAAGTCACATGCAGATTCTGTGACATGGAAGAGAGGCGATTTATAATGTGTAGCTACAGCAATTAAATGCTGATACAGAAGTTAAAAGATGTGTATCATTTGGGGGGTTTCCTATTAAAAAATAACAGGCAGAGATGCAACCAGGGTTTAGGGCTGTATTATGTATTAATCAGATGTGGGAGGAGAAAAACAGGCTGAACATGTGTTAATCATTTCATACTTGGAGGTTTATTTCTGTAAAAACTGTCTGAACAGCTACTGCCTCACCACGTCTATTGTCAGCTGTCTTTTCCCCCCAACTTAATAGATTCAGCAGAGATCAATGTTTCAGAGGAGTGCCTCTGTGCTCAATTAAAATGACACTGAGAAAGGAGAAAGATGTTATCCCACTGACAGAATGAGATGTTGCCTGTGAGAATTAAACCATCACATTTTTTGACTAGTCAGTGTGTCCATGGGGTTTTTTGAAAATGTCCTTTTCTCTGATTGTTTTTTTTTTTTTTTTTTGCCCATAGTTTTAGGCCCATGCAAGAATTGCTCTACCTGAAAAGAAGAGCACTTCAAAGCGCGTCACTTTTCAATTCAGTGCACCGCTGATAAGAAGAAAGATGTCCTGATTGGCACAATAGAGTGAGGCTGAGGAAAGATTTGTTTTCCCCCTTCAGTCTGCAGTGATTGAGATTAGGAAATTTATGTATGAAGGAATCAATTTAGAAGCATTTTCAAAGCAACAGTTCTGCATTTACACTTATTTGCTTTCTGTGCCAGAGTTACAGGAAACTATTGATATTTCACTCATGTCTGTATATAAAAAAAATTACCGATCTGGCAGTGAAAGCATCGAAACAAGCGGTACATAGGAAGAGGGCAAACAAATATTCTCCTTAAAAACATCCAACTGTTTGTTCATAATCATTTCAAATGCATCTTTTTAAACTATTTTACCCATTCCTGCAAAAATACATTTAAAGTTTGCTTCCCTAACAAGGGGCAGACATGTAGATTGATATAAAGCAGCTGTCAAAACTGGTACATATTTCAAAATATGAACAATAATGAATAAGACCAGCAAATAAGATCCTATCAGGAAATACTAGAGGTATATGGAGGCCATAACTCAACTCAGGCGTAGGTTTGTTTTCTCATACTTTTGTACACTCTCATATACATGTATTTTCACACTGGAGAAGTCGCCCCCTGCTGGGTATTAGAAAGAATTCAGAGAAATAATAATACTTTTCCAAAAGGAGAACAGTCAGGCTTTATTCATCATGGAGTCCATAAACATGTTATTGTATAGCACTTGCGTCATAACTACACACACACACACATATTTTCATATCTTAGTGAGGACATCTAGTTGACATAATGCTTTCCCTAGCCGCTTACCCTAAACATCAAAAATGAATGCTTAACCTTTAGCCTAAACATAACCTCATTGTAACCCTGACACTAAAACCACATTTTGAACCTCAAAAAAACCTCGTGGTGACTCTTGGTCCCCACAAGTATAGTGACATCCCAATTTTCTGTCCTCATAAAGGTGTCTAAACATGTACACACACACACACATCCTTCTTATAGTTAAAAAAAAGCAAAAATAACATTTCGCCATATTAAAAACAGTGTATGTAAATTTTCAAGAAAGAGCTGTTTTCATGATTTTAAATCTGTCTCTGCAGATTCCTGTTCTCATCAACCTGAGTCAGGATGCAGATGTGAACCTGCCAGTTAAACCGCTCATCTTTGCTTTGGCTATGGGAGCCTGTCTGGGTGGTAAGTATTGCTTCTTGGGCCTCATATGCTGTATTATAAAAATAGTGCATTGCATGTCACTTCTGGGAAAAATACACACCAGCCTTCCAGACTCCCTCACAGACATCAGGGACTTTATAGTTTATCCCTGTTTGAAAGGTGTGGATCTTTATTGATGACTGCTGCCAGAAGAAGACAACATATGCTCCAGGTGACAGCCACACTTTGTACAGCTGTGTCGCTCCCCGGGGAGGCCAGGCTGCGCTCTTTGTGGAAGCAGCCTCAGGGCTCTCAGAGATCGCCTCACTCAGGCTCATTCTGCGCCCCAGTGGCCAGCCCTTCATCCGACTGTGGCTCTGCTCCGATGGGAAGGACACAAATGGAGAGAGAGAGCTGTCATAGTGTTTCAGTTTAATCAACTGCACTGTGACAGGTCTTTATCGACTGGCAGTGTGATGTTGCCCCTGCCAAGCTCCATCCTCACACTGACGCCTTTTGAGATGTGGGCAGTATTGAACTGCAGGATGGGTACGCGTGCTGACTGTTAAAGCAATGCTTTATGAGATTAAGTCAGAAATTACCAAGACAACGCTGAAAAGTGATGAAGCTCAACAGTAATATAAGACTGTAAAGTACTCATGCTCATAATGCTGAAATATTTTACGTTAACTTATGTTTTTCTCAGCTCTATAATTTTATTATTGGGTTCTTCTAGAGCAGCATTGCACGAGTTGAACACGAGTCCTTACTCATCTTCCACTAAACGTTGATGCAGCCACTCACTCCACTCTCTTCCTAAAACAAGCATCCTGTCTCTTTATGGCCTCTCGTCCTTAAAAGCACACGTTCCTCTTACTTCTAATGAGTTTCTGCAAACAGGCCATGATGGTTCTGTGCGGTTTGTCCTCATCTTGCAGCAGTAACAGTAGTTACAGTAGAGATTTGTTCCAAGTGTCAATACAAGACAAACATTTCAGAGATGTGTAAGTAACCAATCACTGAAATGTGCTTTTCTAACTCGTCTTCATTTCCCTTTACAGAAAAAAAAATAATCATCATCTTCTAACATTAGTCAGCTAAAGATCCACCTTCATAGTGGGCTCTGATTGCAGAAGCTGACTTTCTGGTCTTTAGCTGTTTTTTTTCTGAGAAAAAGAAAACTAATACCCACGGCTCTACTTCTTCAGGAAATGCATAGTGTTTCTCATAGTTTTCTTTTCTGGTCAA